ATTGAAGGTGAGGGGTCAGGAGGGGGAGGGGGGCGGTGGCAGCACTCGAGGGGGGGCACGCAGCCACATATACACGATCGGCAGGCTTTAGAGCAGCCGATCGGGTATATGTGAAACAGCCGGTAACGGCTGTTTACATTGGATAGGTTTTTTCTGCCCGTGTGTGCACTAGGAGGCGCACGCGAGCAGAAAAAAAATGCCACCTGGAGACGGCAACCCGCCAATGCGACTGTGCCGTCCGTCCGTTTTTTTGCAACGGGCGGACGGCAACTGGTTAAACATTCTCCTTGTCCCATCCGGTGCAGGACCACGAACGAAGCCTACTTGGTCCTGGTTGATCAGGGATGGAGTAATAGGTAACAATCTATCGGCAATGATCTTGGCATATAATTTAATGTCTGTATTTAAAAATGAAATAGGATGAAAATTCTGCGTGAAAACTGGCTCCTTACCTAGTTTAGGTAGTGTGACAACAATAGAGCGTAACATTTCTCGAGGGAAGGAAGAAGAGCACACAGCAGAATTAAAGATAGTTTGTAAATAAGGAGTCAAAATGTCTTTATATACTTTATAGTATTCGCTTGAGAAGCCGTCTATACCAGGGGATTTATTTGAGGGCAATTTGTTAATAGTTTGGGTTTTTTCTTCGAGCGAAAAAGGGGCATTTAACCACCTCCCGTCCATGGCCGTTCCTGAACGGCTGGACTGGAGCCTTATAAGAGCGGGGTGGGGGCGTCCTAAGATGTCCTTCCCCTCCCCCCACACCAGTGGGGAAACTGTCACGAGTGGGGAAGCGATGGTTGTTTATATTCAAGCGATCGGGCGTCTCTATCGCTTGTGGTAGGTGCAAGCGTGCGCCTCGCCGCCGCTGCCAGTACCGAGATCCGCTGTGCCCGGCACGGCGACTCTGTCAGTGGAAATCAAAGGGAGATCAGTACATGATGATGGTTAGAAGAGTCTGCACTGCCCGAAGTTTCTCCCGAGATCGTAGTAGGATTAGCAGGCGGGTGTGCGTTCCCGTTCGTGGGGAGAGAGGAAGATGATGCTGGTGCACGAGACGAGCCGGCACCATTTTGTTGTTTGTGCGGGCCTGCAGATTTAAAAAATCTGGCAGTTTCCTCTGCCCCCCTTTATGTTTAGTCTTACTCATATTTAGTATGAGTGTTGTTAGAATGCGTGGAAGATGATTCAGGTGTAGATGTCCTCTCATGTTATGTCGCTAAGCCCCGAAACAGAGTCTGAACTGGATCACTTATCCTATGTGGCCATCTTCCACCATGCTGCTCCCCCCCTAAGAAATAGATTTTACAGGTAACACAAAAATCCTGGTATTTGCTCTGGTCAAGAAGGTTTAGATTACCCCTGAAGTTGAAAGAGTTAAACACCCTTGTGTAAAAGAAGAGTGAATATACAGTACTTACCTTTCTGGTGGCGTTTTGTTGAAACACCACTGCTTCACTGCTTTCCTGGTGCTGCAAGTGTTCGAAACTTTGAGTCAGTCGAAATACCTGTTTCCCCGAACACATGTTGTGTCTTCTTCCACCAGCTCATACATCTGTAGTGATGTATCTACTAAGTGTGGTGGGGAACCATGTATTCTGCTCGTGTGGAATATTTGAGCTGTCTAATTGCACTCCCTTTTCACTAACACTAACCACACTCCCTTTTCACTAACATTAACCGCACTCCCTTTTCACTAACACTAATGGCCCCTCATCTATCCACTAGCACATCTAAGGCCCCGTTCACATGTAGCGAATTATCGCGCGATTTCCGCCGCGATATCGCGAGAAGTCGCCGGCCAATGCTATTCAATGGAGCTGTCTTAACTCCATGTCGCTCGTCGTGGTCGCAAGTCGCTTCTACCGGACCCTTTTTTCGGCGGATTTTGCCCTTTTTCTATGGAGCCCGACGGAGAAGGTCGCGCTACCGTCGCTGGATCGTCGCTGGAACGTCGCCCCGAAAGTCGCGCTATCCCGGCCGTGCGGATCCGCTGCAAAAGGTATGTCACTACGTGTGAATGGGGTCTAAGACTGTACAGGCTCCCAGGTGGCCTAGGTGGGCTGTGCGAGCTCTCAGGTGGACTGCAGGTTCCGTGCAGGCACTGTGTGTGGGTCTCAGGTAAACTACGGGCTGTGTGCGGGCTCTCCCTTCCCACTTACCTTACCTTACCACTCAAGCGACTCTGCTCCACTCCCTGATCGCTCTTTCTTAAAGCCCGTTACAGACCAAGCTCCGCCTCCTTAAACCTACCTTCCTGCATGTACAGGAAGGTACCAAGTTACTGGGGGGGGCAGTAGCAAGTGTTGTACTGCACTTATTACCAACTGCCCCCCCCCCCCAGCAGTCTATGCACCAAGGGAGCTTAGACGCTAATGTCCCCCCCACAGCCTCACACTATTATTATTATTACAAATTTATATAGCTCTGACATATACCACAGTGCTGTACAGAGAACACTGAGACAGTCACATCAGTCTCTGTACCAGAGGAGCTTACACTCTAATGTTCTCACACTATTATGATTATTATACATTTATATAGCTCTGACATATACTTAGCAACGCACTCGACTCAGGGCTTAGTAACCCACTGGACTCAGAGCTTACGAACGCACTGGACTCAGGGCTTAGTAACGCACTGGACTCAGGGCTTAGTAACGCATGGGTCTCAGGACCCACCTGAGACCACACACATACCTGAGACCCCACAAAGCTCACCTGAGAGTGACCCTGCAGAGCACACCATAGATCTTGCACAGCCCCTCTGAGGTTGTCTCTGCAGGGTCTCAGGTGGGCATGTCAGGGTCCCTTTACCTGTACCTCCCTCCCAGCTCCTCTTACCTGCTGCTGCTGAAACCCGGCCTCCACCACTGCCAGACCAGCACTGCTGGGGACTGCTGCGGGTGGCGCATGCGCAGTAGTAGCCAACAGGACACCAGCACTGCAGAGCTGGGGCCCCGGCCTCCTCAGCGGTAGTAGCTGACAGAGTACCGGCGCTGCTGGGGCCCCGGCCTCCTTCGCCGTCAGACCGGCGCTGCTGGGGCCCAGCCGCCTCCACCTCCTCCCCTGTCACCTGTACGGCCGATACCCATGTAAGGGGCCCGGGTCCCTCACATGAGTATCAACAGTACCCCCCTGATGGCAGCCCTGACTGTTGTAATTGTAGATGAAAGAGTCCTCAAAACTGCTGTGAGTTGTCCTGTTCTGCGATGCTAGGAGCAGCTCTCTGATGGTCTGTTCTGGCTGGTTGATGGCTGGCTGGGTTGATATGAAGAATTGAAGAACTTGTCCTGACTAATGTGACAGACAGACAGGCAGCTGGATGAAGCTGAGCGTTGTGGGAGGTGCATGGTCTTAGATGGGTGGCATAAGCTTCTTGGATCAGTTGTTCCGGATACATTTTCTTTCAATTTATTCAGAAGGTGAGTGCTTGATGATATGTAGTCAGAGTCTTCTGTACAATTTATTTTGAGCCTGCAGAATTGGCTCTTCAGAATTTTGTGTTTCCACCTGGGATGATGGTAACTGTTAAAATGCAAAACGGAATTACCCCCCAATCGGTATTACATGATTCCTAGTGATAATTTGACTTCCTTTTGAGGAAAGTTACATATCCACATACTAATCGTTTTTAAAGTTTTAATACGTTTTTAATTTTAATATTGGTCTGGTTTGAGTGAAAAATAGCTTTTAATTAACTAAGAAATAAAGATATCCAGCAATTGCTTTAGGTTGGAGCGCTCCTTTGTTGTTTTGCTGTTGTCTCCCAATAAGGGGAATGCTGTCTTGAGTGATCATTTGCAAAGCTCTGGGAAACATTTACCAGCTTTGACTAAAAATCACATCAGCATGCAGCTCTACATGCTGATATGAAATAATATTTCATTCATTAGTTAAACAAACATATTTTTATTTTACTTACAATTTATTTTTCTTCTTCTTCCTGGTCCTGTTAAGCACAAATGATGTAATCCTTTTCAAGTGTTGCATCCTGGGAAGGTTACATCAGCAGAGCTTTGCTGGGACATCTGTAATCACAAGATCTCAGGGAAAGGCATATTCCTCCCCTGAGCTGATGTACATGGTTGCATGAACCAGAGCTCCAGGATGTAAAGGGAAATATAGCAATCTGCTCTCAGTAAAAATGGCCACCATGATAACAATGGGGAAGGAAAGAATAAAAAGCCGACAATTATCTATAAGTATGTGTTTGTAAATTGCCATTACTAAACATTTCTAAAGGTGTGTTTGCTGTTACTTTGACGATGTGGGTAAAGTTCCTCTTTAAATACCTGCTAAAGCTTGCTAATTGCTATGCTGCTCCTGTGAGGGTGTTTACTAGCCAAGGTATGAAATAGTGTCCGTGTGAGTATAGCTTGACTGATTTGTTTATGTGTTTTGCCATAAGTTAATAGTACAATTGCAGCATGTATACATCCTCATAAAAATGTATTGAAAAGAGGTTGCTGTTCTTGACTGTACTTTTCTTGCATTACAAAACATTCAAAGCAAAGAAGTTCAATATTTTTATTGCATGTGTTACGTTTTCCTCTTTTACTTATAGAAAATGGACAAAAACGGCTATGCATGCATTGAGGGAATATATAAGAGGACCTTAGAGGAATTTCATAGAGCCATCCATATATCTGATAAAAATGTGTGTTTTTTCTGTGCACGCTTACTGTATGTTTTGGGATACAATACTTTAAGAATGTTAAATTGCCTATGTCTAAGTTAGGGCATGCTCACAATATTATGGGTTGCAGTAATGCATGCACCATAACAATCGTTGTCTGTTGCACCCTTTAGTGGCCTGTTTACAGCAGCCAAAAAAGTTTCCCCCCCACCTATACAGCTATAGGAACACAACATGAATTTGATTGGCTATTGTGAGCAATTATTTATTTTTCCTTAAGATTCCTCCTGCACATAATCCCCTCTGTGATTTATGTATCTTTATGCTATTATTATTATTTTTTTTGGGGGGGTATGTTATAGATTATCCTTCATGGCAACGCCTGGAACCAATGGACACCATCTTTGTCAAGAATGTAAAGGAGGGTGGTCCAGCCCAGCAAGCTGGACTCTGCACAGGTGAGAATGAAAGCAAAATGGCTGTACATATAGGTTGATTTAGAATACAGAATTAGGACCAATCTTAGAATAGTTTAGATTTAGTGCCCCAAGGTCAGATAAGGCAGCATTATAGGAATATAGAAAAATTAACGACATGAACATCAATAAATCATTTTACATTGTCAATTCACTCAAAACTCGGGCAAAGAGACTATACTTGCCGGAGCAAAAAGAGTAAGAATCCAAAGGGGGCACAGTTGAGGAGATACAGTATTACCAGTAAAATGCCATAGTGATGTAAAAACTGAAAATCCAGTGGAAAGGCCAAAGACAGCCAGGAAACTAGCACTTTTTGGAAGGTCCACAGCAATAGGAGCCTTCATATTTCTGTCAATACAGGTTGCCTTTTGTATGTCTCTACTGTCTCTTGTAGTAAGGATATGATGAAAATGCCAGTTATACCATGAGATTAAAATACTTTACAGCTTGTAACAGCTGACTGTGCCAGAAATGTCATTATTTATTTTTCTAAATGCTCTGACAACAGGCAAAAGACATTTGTTGTTGTAAGGTACGACATGCTGTACTTTTTTCACCGCAGCAGGATGTGATGTCGTACAACTGCCTCGCACCCCGCTGTGCCCGTAGAACTGAATTAAATGACACTTGCAACATTTCAAAAAGCTTTAAAAAAAATAATTATGCAGTGCGATGCGCTGGGATCAGTGCTGTTCCGTGGCACCACACACCAGAGGCTGTGTGATTAGAGTAGTGTGAATAGACCCTTAAGTCTGAAGTATTACAAGCTTAATATGGTTACATAATTTACCAGTGGGTATAGCTACATGTAAAGTCACAGGAAACACCTTTGTTTGCTTGATAGAAATAGGGGAGAAAAGAGTGCACTGGCAAAAAAAAATGAATGAAATGCACTTATAATATAAAACTTTGTGTTGGTCACATAACAGAAAGACTAGTATGCAGACTGTGGCAAGAAGCAAGCTCCCTGGAAGATAAAAGGAGACCAGGGTGAGATCTTGTGAAGCAAGCTACCATTGGATACACAGATACACAGCACTGGTCTGGCAGGGTCCCAGCTCTCCACTCTCCTGTAATTCATCTTCCCTATAGCCATGTCATTTTGTCTGCAAGTGTCCACAAGCACATCCATCGGGGAGCGCGTTTTGGGGTAGATGCTTAACCCCTTTATCAGCCTGATCTGTGACAGTATAATGCAGCTATAAATAGGCCAACATATTGCCGATAATTGGGTATACCAAGCCCACTTTGTTGTTTAGTGATATTAAACACCAATTTACATTATATACAGTAACACAGCAGTATTATGACTATGCATAACATTAACTATATTATGATGCAAAATAAAGAAATACTTATATTTATTATGAACTGAATGATCATCTATCTAGTATTTCTATTTAATAAAACGTATCCTTAAGTGTGTGTGTACAATATAATATAACTTATGTGATTTATACAATGTTACCTTCCTAATAAATGTAGTTCTCAGTGAGAGCGCACATCACGCTGAATATATCCACTTTATTATATGCTCTAATTCCTCATTGAGGCTACCAATTGTTAAAATGTTTAAACAAAGATCCAATACACCTCCTGGTGTCATAACATTTAAAATCTCTGCTAAGGACGACATGTTCTTTGAAATATAAATACTTTTAAGCCTGAAGTGCTGCCTGCACAAAAGTCCCTAAAGTGTCTAGGTACACTACATACATCACTTTGTTCCTATATTAGTCACCTATGTTCCCCTATAAATGCCCTAAGATTTCTGATGGTCCTACATACATAGATTAGGCCACAGGGACAATGCAGAACGTATATATAACAAGTGTGGTAGGGCAGGTGACAAATCCATTAATGGCATATTCTTTCCCCTTAGAGTCAATAAAACTTGCTTGACCACATGTAATAAATTAGCATGTCAGGCATTTCCTTTTCTGGAACATACTCTTCAGTCCCCCCAAAAAAAAAAAAATTACAGAGATTTGCAATTATTTACATATCGGTTTGTAATTTTCTAGGGGCAATTATATTTTGGATACATTTAGATTTTCTCAAATTGACCAAAATTTGGTGGGGATAATATCGTTATGTTTTGGGTCATTTTGCAAGACACTCAGGTTCTTTTTTTATAATCCTATTGATGGCACTATGGTTAGCAGTATATTGCGTGAGGAATGATAAACTTTGTAAATCGCCACTGTTCTTATTATTTTTGGAATGTATGATGGGGCTTTTCAGTGTTGAATAGTTCTGACCATATTTTAAAATTATTTGATCTAAAAATAAAAGGGTCATAATTTTTCTCAACAATTTTATATTTATGAAGTTTAATTTTGCTGAGTTAGCAATCCATATTAGTGCAGTTCTTTGATAACCTACAGAATAGACTGTGGGGTGTATTTTACTTCCATTTTGGAGGGTGAATTCTACCATTGTGTAAATAGGAATTGCCTGCCTTCTCTGTTTTGGATGTAATGTGCCCTTCATTATCATGTGATAAATCTAAAAATAACAGTTTTTGAGGGTCGTGACATATGTAAATTAAATGTTGAAATTATTCTTGTTGCAGTAGTTTAAAAATTAAAGAACTGGGCTGCTATATGCGTCCCATATCACTACAAAGTAATCAATGTACTGACCATAGTAGATAATGGGTTATTAGTCCAAATTGACTGAGATTCCCAGTGACCAATGACCAAATTAGCATAACTGGGTGCACAACTGACCCCCCATGGCCGAGCCATGGTGTTGTAGATAAAATCTCCTTATGAACTTAAAATAGTTGTGTTTTAAAATTAATCTAACCCCCTTTTAAAATGAATCTAGTCTTTTAGTTTCATATTACAAAAGGCATCTTCTCTCAGAAAATGTTGGATGGCTCTTAGGACTATGTCATGAAGTATAGATGTATATAGGGATGTAACAGCTAGAGAAAGCCAGACCTGGTTGGTTTTCCATGTATAATTTTAAAAAATATCTAGAATATGTAAAGAATCCTTGACCTAAGCTGGGTGGGTTTTCACTATGGGTTATAAAAAATAATCCATATAGTCAGAAAAATTGCTAGTAAGGCTGATCATCCTTCCACTATTGGACGTTCCGAAGGGTTAGTAATATGTTATAGATTTTCGGGATGTGGTAAAAGTATGGTGTGTTATTAAATTCTTTGTAGAAGATGTGCTTTTCTTGTTTATTTAACATTCAATTATAAGCCTCATTTATTAGTATTTTTGACTCTAAACGATATTCCGCCTAGGGGTCATTTGATGTAATGGTGATCTCCATTATCTGAGGGAACAATACTTTCATCCAAAGAGGAAGTTATAGCATGTTATTGTTCCTTAATGGTTATAATGCCTTTTGGAAGCCCAGTTTCTAACAAATTTGTTTGGGGACAAAGTTCAATCCTTTGTTTATTAATGCAAGTTCATCCTTGTATTTATTAATTGTTTGTTCATCATCCTGTAACTCCTCTAACTAGGGCAGTGGTGGCAAACCTTGGCACTCCAGCTGTTTTGGAACTACAATTCCCATGAGGCATTGCAAGGCTCTGACAGCCACAGACATAACTCCCAGAGGCAGATGCATGTTGGGATTTGTAGTTTTGGCACAGCTGGAGTGCCAAGGTTCGCCACCACTGGACTAGGGTATCCTGTTTCTAAAATGTATCTTGCATTTTTTTGCAAATCCCTTTAGTATCCACATTGCCCCCCTTAGAATGGAATGGGTTATCACTTTTTGGAATATGTATAGTAGTGATTTCCTGTCTTTTTTGAGACTGTCTTATGGGGATAGTAAAGCATCCTTACTGGAAACTTTGTATGTTATTGCCAGGGCTTGAAAAATTTGGCGCTGTCTCACCAGTCAGTCAAAAATTTCACCAGTCAGCATGACTCCACTGTCTGCTCGTCACAGACGAGTGGACGAGTGGATTTTTCGAGCCCTGGTTATTGCCCTTTATTATTCAAATGTATACCAGGTTTATTGTCCAAGCACTGATCCAAGAGATGTCTTGGATATATTTTTCTAATTTGGCTGTGTTTTTTTATTAAAAGTTTTTCTTCTTTAATCTTGATGCTATCTTGAATGGCATTTTTTCCACTTAGTGAAAACATTCAGTGATCTAAACACCACCTTGAATTTATTCACAATCTCCAGGACATTTTTAGTGACCCTCAGTGCTCACAGCATTAATTTTAAATCTATATACAGTATATTACCAAAAGTAATGGGACACCCCTGCAAATCATTGGATTCAGGTGTTCCATGAAATTTGCTTGCAAGTAAATATTCCGCGGTCAACTGTTAGTGGTATTATAACAAAGTGGAAGCAGCTGGGAACAACAGCAACTCAGCCACAAAGTGGTAGACCCCGTAAAATTACAGAGCGGGGTCAGCGCATGCTGAAGTGCACAGTGTGCAGAAGTCGCCAACTGTCTGCAGAGCCAATAGCTAAAGACCTCCAAACTTCGTGTGGCCTTCAGATTGGCACAACAACAGTGCATAGAGAGCTTCATGGAATGGGTTTCCATGGCCGAGCAGCTGCATCCAAGCCTTATATCACCAGGTGCAATGCAAAGCGTCGGATGCAGTGGTGTAAAGCACACCGCCACTGGGCTCTAGAGAAGTGGAGATGTGTTCTCTGGAGTGACTATTCACGCTACTCCGTCTGGCAATCTGATGGACGTGTCTGGGTTTGGTGGTTGCCAGGAGAGCGGTATTTGCTTGATTGCATTGTGCCAAGTGTAAAGTTTGTAGGAGGGGGGATTATGGTGTGGGGTTGTTTTTCAGGGGTTAGGCTTGGCCCCTTAGATCCAGTGAAGGGAACTCTTAAGGGATCAGCAGGGGTAGTATCCTCTCACAGACCAGCGTCCTCAGCTCTTAGGCATAGTTTCAAGCCATTTGAAGGCCTTTTCCGGGTGCCACAAAGAAACGGGTAGCTTCACCATCCTGCACACGGAGGCACGCCGGGA